AAATAAGGAAGAACCTAGACGTAGTAAAAGAGATAGAACGTTTAAGTCATTTGGTCTTGATTTTTTGACATATATATTGGAGAATGAGCCACAAAGCTATAAGGAAGTTATGTCTTCTCCTGAAGCTCCTTTATGTAAAGAAGCCATAAATAGTGAAATTGAATCCATTATGCAAAATTATACTTGGGAGCTGGTGGATCTTCCTCCTAGTACTAAACCTTTAGGGTATAAGTGGATTTTCAAAAGGAAGATAAAGCCTGATGGTTCAATTGATAAATATAAAGCCAGGTTTGTTCTAAAGGATACAGGCAAAAAGAATGCTTGGATTATTTTGATACATATTCACCAGTCATAAGAATAACATCCATTAAATTGTTACTAACTATTGCGACATTGCAAAATTTAGAAATACATCAAATGGATGTTAAGACTACATTCTTGAATGGTGAATTAGAGGAGGAAATCTATATAAAACAACCTAAAGGTTTTATAGTTCCGTAAAAATAAAAGAAGGTGTGCAAGCTTGTAAACTCCTTAGATGGATTGAAACAAGCACCTAAACAATGGCATGAAAATTTTGACAAAGTGATGTTGTCAAATGGTTTTAGAATTAATGATTGTGATAAATGTGTTTATGTGAAAAACACTCAAAATGGATATGTCATTGTGTGTCTATATGTGGATGATATGCTAATAATGGGTAGTAATGGTGTTTTAATCAAAACTACTAAAAAGATGTTGACCAAAAATTTTGATATAAAAGATTTAGGCATAGCTGATGTCATATTAGGAATCAAGATTTCTAGAACATCAGATGGTCTAGTATTATCTCAATCTCACTATATTGAAAAAATATTAGACAAGTTTAATAAAGAAGATAATAGTCTTGTAAAAACTCTTGTTGATGTAAATCTTCATTTATCGAAAAATACTGGTCCTAACATATTACAACTTGAGTATTCTCGCATTATAGGAAGCTTAATGTATTTAATGAATTGCACACGACCAGAAATAACATACTCAATTAATAAATTGAGTAGATATACAAGTAATTTAGGAAAGAACCATTGGACTGCAATAATCAGAGTTCTAAGGTATTTAAGATAGACCACAAGTTATGGATTACATTATTCTAGATATCCAGTAGTACTTGAAGGTTACAGTGTTGCTAATTGGATATCAGATATGAAGGATTCTAAATCCACAAGTAGCTATGTCTTTACCATTGAAGGAGGTGCCATATCTTGAAAATCTTCAAAATAGACTTGTATTGCCAGATCCACTATGGAATCTGAATTTATTGCTTTGGATAAAACTAGTGAAGAAGCTGAGTGACTTCGTAATTTCTTAGAAGATATTCCAAATTGGCCTAAACATGTGCCCGCTATATGTATACATTGCGATAATCAATCAGCAATTGGAAGAGCACAAAGTAATATGTATAACGGTAAGTCTCAACATATACGTTGACGACATAATACTGTTAGACAATTGCTCTCAAGTGGGATAATCTCAATAGATTATATCAAGTCAAAAGATAATTTAGCGAATCCGTTTACAAAAGGTTTGACAAGAGAGCTAGTGTATAGTTCATCGAGGGGAATGGGATTAAAGCCGAAAGCTAATGAGTCATTTTAATGGAAACCCAACCTAGTTGACTGGAGATCCCAAGATCTAGGTTCAAAAGGACAACAGAAATTTTGAATGACTCATTAGAAGCACTAGGAAGATTTAATCTTCTACCCATTACTATGATGAGACAGTGCTACCTACAACGATGAGTAGGATAAGCCATGCTTTTAATGACTCTTATACCTTGAAAATTCAAGTGGGGTATAGTATGATACTCTTAATAAGAAGTCATCTATATGAGTGTGAAGTGGGGCCGCTTCTATTAGAACTTCTAAGGCTAAGTTTTCTAGAGCACTCATGAAATACCAAGAGTTGTTCAGGGCCATATGAACACAACCGTGAGAACCGACTTTGTGTGGGAAGGAACTGTGTGTTTGCTATTGTCTTGGTTTACATCAACAGCTGAACAGTTCAAGACATCATGTTCACTAGTTAGCCAGTAAATCCGATAGTAATACACTATGGAAGGTTTAAGGCCAAAAGTTGTCTATCCCTATGCAGTTACTTTCTAATAGTACTCTCTCTAGTGTTTGTATCTTCTTCATTTGTAATTTACGCAAATTTCTATTCATGTGGGGGATTATTGGAAACGGGGGCATTAAAAACATAAACTTTGGATGAGAATTGGAATAGATTCCGCTAAGAATTTTTTGCGGATCTATAGACGAGCCCGTTCTTCTCCGTAAGGAGATGAACGTGGTATATTTACTTTCTCAAATCCGTTTTCGTGTAAATGAGAAATTAGATCCAAAGTGAGGTGTTTGATAAGCCTAAATGGAAAAAATGTTGAAACCAATTGAGTTTAAATAAGTCAAGCTTGGGCTTGGATTTGGCTTGGGCTTGAGTCTAATTGTAAGGTCTGGTTATTCTTTTTACTAAATAAAATTTTGGATTAGGCCTGTTTTTGGGTTGGGCTTATTTAAATGGGTTTCACAAATGGGTGGTTGGTATTTGAATTTAAATTAAAATTAGTTTTTTGAATTTAAATTATAAAAACCACTTTTTAGTTTTTCCAAAGGGTTGCACCTTTTTCCGAACCATCATAACCCATGGTTGCACCCACCCGAAAAGACACCTTGATGCCTATAAATACCCCCTTTGGATCATTTGCAAAACACACCAAAAATTCAGAGTATTCTTTCTCTTCTTCTGAATTTTCTTCTTCTTCCTCTCTTTAGTTTGTGAGTTCAAGCCCTAATCTTTGGGTTCGAGCCTTAGTCAGTGACTCCGAGTCCGAGTTTTAGTCAGAGAGTACTACACTGAGCCGGTTCGCCTATTCCTTTGGTTTGTAGTGCTACTATCGAAGGAAGACAAGTCGTTGTATCACGAAAGATAGACGCCACTGAGTCCGTTAGCACCATAGCGGGACGAATATATCTTAAGGACATATAATCAAATTATAGCCTCAATTTTTAATCAGGTTCTTTTATTTTATAGTTTTTATTTTATTATATTAAACTATATATTATAAGAAATTACATATATAGATTATTATAATAATTATATATATATATATATATATATATATACATTATATTTTCAGATAATATTTAAATAAATAATGCTATAGTATATGGTATAGTTAAACCATATTTTGAACAACAACAACAACAAAAATAAAAAATAAAAAATAAAAACCAAAAACAACAACATTTCTTCCTCCATTTCACATAAAAAATAAAAAATAAAAACCAAAAACAACAACATTTCTTCCTCAATTTCACACAAGGGAAGGGAGTCACCATATGATCTAAGTATTATTCTTAATGGTTTATCATTAAATATATGATAAAGTGAATAAACACCCCCCAATTATACTTAAATGAACACAAAACCCCCCCTTGGATTTTTAAAGTAAGCAGAAAACCCACTCAACTACGCTGTTGGTTGCATTTTGTTCAATCCTGCGACCGGTGGATGGATTTTAAACACATGGCCTTCACACGACAAACCTAAATTTACTTAAATGACCATAGAACCCTTATAAAAGGTAAAATACCATAGTCTCCTTCTACCTCCTCTCCATCATATGCTTTTACGCTTTTACTGTGTATATATATATATATATCCTCTTTGTCTCCACCCTCACTGCTTCTCGAGCCTCCACCATCACCTCTGGCAGGTGACTGAACTCACGCCTTCCAATCTGCGCCTCTGTCGCCGTGGAAACTATGCTCCGGTGGGTCAATCACAGCAAGTTTTGAGGCCGATTTATTAGGTTTTGGGGATCAACAATAGGATACAAAACATGGTCGGCTTGATAGTGAAATGAAAGCGGTGGCAGAGTGTTGGCGTTTCATACCAATCTTTGAGGACCATTTTTGTCAATCAAATTCCGAATGGAATCCTGAATCAAACCCTTCACTAGGTTATATATATATATATATAAACAGACAGACCCATCACGTACCAAATCACACACCAAATAATATTTTTTTTGGGGGATATTATTTACGTATCAGATCTATCACATACCAAATCATCTTTTTTTTTCCTTCTCTGTGCCAGCGTTAAGGTGGATCGAGGAAAAAAAAAAAAAAAGAAAAAAAAAAGAAGGTTTATTGAGAAAATGATGGAAGAATGTTTGAGATATTGGTGTTGTTCGTTCATGGTGGACATGGTAGCCGTACAAGAAAAAACAACAACCAACCAAAGGAAGCTGTCGCCGGATAAGAAAAAACCACGGGAGCATGATATGAAACATTTTTTTTATTTTTTTCGGAAGGTATATGAAACATTCTGATGTGGCGCCCTTCAAGTAAAGGGCTAAAGTTTTGACAACGTTGCCTATGTGTCGACCGTTTAGTGGCTATTCTAATTACGGTGGGTCCCACATCATTTATCTAGTCATTGTTCTACTCATGCTGATGCGGCACTTCCATTGAAGGAGTAAAACAGTCTTTACATATCTTCCGTGATAGTAGTTCACCTAACAACCTTCTCTGTTCCAAAACTTGACCAATTTCATAATTTAGGAGGTTATTTGTAATTGAGGGGGATTTGTTGCATTTGAGGCATAATTAAAAGAGATTTATTACACTTTACCCTTAAATATATATACGGTTATAATTATGTACTATTAAATTCATTTCGATAGATAGTTAAATGTAGACACCATCCTATATTAATAAATTTTCCGTTCAGCTAAATTGAATCCAATTTTAATGCAAATCCAAAATATTTAAGATATTGATATAAATATTCAAAGTGTACAGGTCTTGTAATGAGTAGACTAACACCAGGTTTTTTTTTCTTTTTTCACCTAAATGAAGCACACATTCAAATTGTTAGTTAAAACTACAAGTCTTGACAGACCAACCAATAATAGTCCAAGTGACACACGCATATCTTGTGGGTGGAACCAAAAAAAAGAAAGAAAAAAGAAAAAAAGACATTTATTTCTCAATGTGGAGAACATGATCACAGCATAAGTACATTGCATTTAATCCAAAGCACAAAACGATTCAAATCGAACTTCATGTTCTCTCTCTTCCCATTGACACAATCAAACCCACAACCACACTCCGGACTCTCATCGAAATTACTGACCGGAAAGTCGGCGGAGGCAATCCCGACGGAGAATTCGAGCTCGTCGCCGTCACGGATGACCTCGACGATGTTGATCCAGAAGAAGAGTACCTTCACGCTTATGCCCTCCAAGCTCTTGAGCTTGTCTTTGGATATGACCCCTGTGATGGTTGACTTGTACTTGAGCTTGTAACCGTCGATCGAGAAACTGCACGTTCCGTTCAGGTACACCGAGAACTCTCCGGTGGTTTCGTTCAGTTCGTAGCCTTGAACGCCTTTTGGAAGAAGACCCACCGGAAAATCGTATTCTTCTAGGACTTGGTATGCCGTTGGCGACGTATCGTTGCCGGCGGTGGATGGGGTTTGAAAATTTGTTAGAAAGATAATGAGAAAGGCGAATAGGAATGACGGTGGAGACATGGGTGGGGATGATGTGTGTTGTTTCTCTCTCTAGATTATTCCCTTTGTTTCCCTCTACATACCAGAAATGAGTATGTGCAGTTTATCTACATATATATATCTATATTCAGTTTTTTTTTTTTTTTTTTCTTTTTTTTTTTCTTTTTTTTTTCCTAAAACTAAAAGAGGTAAATACTTTTCATGCTTATTAGTTAATAATACTCATGAATTTGACCAATAATTGTAGGATTAAGTAAAAAAAATAATAATAATAATCATCACTATATATATATAAAATGTGTAATTTGAAAAAATAGAGCAATGAATCGATTAATATAATTTTATAATAAAGTTAAAAAAAATAGTAATATCAAAATACTTACAATATATAAATAAATAATTTTTAATTAACTATTTATATTAAATATAATTAATTATTTTAAGTAAAAATTATTTTCCTATATAAATATTGGGAAAAGCTTAAATAATTTTTTCCCATTTTTTCCGACAAAAGAAGGCCCCAATAGAACCTGCCACATCATTAAAAAGGTGGACATATAAGTAATTTTAAAAAACAACCTTCTTCCCCACCCCACCTTCTCTCAATTGCCATGTTTACCCATCACCATTCACCAGACTCACCACAACCAGCGGGCGACAACATCACCTGAACCACCGGCCGCCACCGCACCACCAAAAGCCAACCCTTCTCCCCCACGGTCTCTCAATCGATGCTCTGTCAACTAAAGCTAGAATATCTGTATCAAGTATCAAGAAGTCGGTCTAGCTAGCTATATGATGTTTTTCACATGCAAGTCGTGGACTAGTAACAATTACTAGATACTAGATTTTCATTTGTATTCCATTAGATCACATCACTTAACATACAAGGAATAACATATTTGAATATAGGATTCTTATTCCTATCACAAGCCAGTAAAGCGCCTATGTTTACCCATCACCACAACCAGAAGCGGCAACATCACCACAACCACCAACCGCCACCGCTGCTATAAATCTCTCTTTATGTATATATATTGGGTTTAATGATGATGGATTTTGGGTTTAATATATATAACTACATATACGGGTTGGATGGGTTTGTAAAGCAAGTGTTTGTATACGGGTTGGATGGGCACCAATCTAACCCACCAACACAGCCGGTGAAGCCTCATTTGCCCTCCTCACAACTAATCGGCAACTGTTTGATGATAGTTCAGAATTTCCGATCGCTCCAGTACAGTGGTTAGTGGTGCAAATAGCGGCAATGGTGGTGGTGTTTGGATGTTTAGGATTGGCAATGAAGCTGCAGGACTGTAATATCATCTTCGTCACCGATCCTCTCTATCTCTATAGATTCTACAGTTTGTGACCCTCGAATTGATCAGAAAAAACCCAATTTGTACTCGCTCGTCCTCTTCCCTATCTTTAGAAGTTAAATCTCTCCAACAAAATTGATTTTGTGGTGCTGGGTTCCTTGTATACACACGTGTGTATATTTAATCTTGAATTGTTATATTGTCTCTCAAGAAATTTACTCTAAAAATTACCAGAACTCATAATTTTTAGTAATTTTCCAGCGAGAATTGGTTATTACCGAAGCCAAAATAGACGTCAATGAATTGCGGTGATCTATGTTGTAGAGAAAGTATGAGGAGAGAGAAATGAGAGAATTATTTTTTTTTTGCTTGCATCAGTAATGAGGCTATTTTAGGAATTTTATAAAAATTTTGGTCAAAATTAATGATTAAAAAACAATTTGCTCAAAAATAGGTTATATAAGAATTTATATGCACTTAATTTTTAATAGAAATATTTCTTATATATATATATTTTTTTGTTTTTATAAGAGGAATTTTTTTGTACTTTAGCGGTTTATCCATATTTATAATATCATTTTACATTTAGACTTCTTTCATTAGGATGTATATTAAAATTTATATATATATATATATATATATATATATATATATATTTTAATTTTTAATATTTGACAAATTAAAACCAAAAAATATAACCTCCTTATTTGTAAAGCGAGTAAAAAAAAATGCGTTCACCGTGGGTACAGGGTTGGTGGGTGGTGCAATTAAATGTTGCACGTGGTAGTTGCCACCATTACCAAACCTATTTGTTCCGTTGACATTAGACAGACAGATTCTTTTAAAAATATATATAATAAAATAATAACTTAAGCAAGAAAGTTAGATGCTACCGTTCAAAAACTTAAAATATTATGCGGTGGTGTTAATATTTAATTTTATATGTTCAAAATTATTTTTATTTTAATTCAATAAGGGAAAAGAATTTATGACGTTTTCTCACCCAAACTCACAACTTAAGGTAACGTTACGGGGAGTAAGAAGTCTTTATATGAATAAGATTGTATATGTTTAAGTGAATGGTCAATTTTGATATCAGTTTTGATAAGTTCATTTAGATTAAAAAGTCATTTCAGGCATTTTGTGAAAAAATGAAAGAAGTATTTTCACGAGTAAAACAATTTTCGACTTGTTATCATTTACTATTATTTATTTTATTTTATTTCATGGAAATGAATTTAAATTGAACTATATAAAAACTACAAAGATTGAAAGATACTAACAATTTTAGTCCTAATTGTGTAATTCACATGGCTCAAATATGTATAAATTACAAATAAATAATAATTATATAAATTTTATATAAAGAAAAAATTAAATGCCCAATGATATACTTTAAGAATGTCACAGCCTCAATAGTTAAGTGGGTTTAGTGATTCCGATGAATTTTGGAGTAGCAAGTTTCTATCTGCATTTACTAATGTAATTTTTAACACTTTTTGCCTCTTATATATATATATATATATATATATATATATATATATATTAAGCATGTCAAGTATATATACATTTTATTTATGGAAAAAAATATATGTCCAATAATATATTTTAAACATGTCAATTGTATATATGTATTCTAACCTAAGTCATATAATATTTCTCAACGGGTGTTGCTCTTGGACTAAGATCTTCTATTGGATCGTGCTGTACCCATACTGTAGTAAAAAAAGGTATTTTTTTTTTTTTTAAATTGGTAACTTTAGAGTCTCACCGAAAAAGGAACAACGTTAAAAAAATAAAATAGAAAGAAAAAAAAAAAAAGAAAACAAAAAAAGGAAAACAAAATATTCTCTTCTGCTTTAACGCCTCCCTTCCACATCACCGTCCCACCATCTTCCTCTTTCGTCTAGTCACAATGTATAAAAAGAAAAAGAAAAAAAAATTCTCAACACTTTTTTTTTTTTTTTTCAACACCTTTAATATTTTTCTCAACTTATTTAATTTTGTTCTCAATACTTTTTAATCTTTTTATCAACAACTTTTAATCTTATTCTTAACACTTTTAATCTTATTCTCAACACTTTTTAATCTTTTTCTCAACACCTTAAATCTTGTCCTCAGCAATTTTTAATCTTTTTTCTCAACACATTTAATGTAGTTATCAATATATTTAATCTTGTTCTCAACACTTTTTAATCTTATTCTTAACACCTTTTAATCTTGTTATTAACACCTCTAATCTTGTTTTCAATACTTTTTAATCTTATTCTCAACACCATTTAATCTTATTTTCAATATTTTTAATCTCTAGTTCAACACCTTTAATCATTACCTCAATACTTTTTAATTTTTATCTCAACACTTTTAATCTTTACCTCAATACTTTTTAATTTTTACCTCACTACCTTTCAACACTCTTTAATCTTTTTTCTCAACAACTTTAATCTTGTTCTCAACACTTTTTAATCTTTTTTCTCAACACTTTAATCTTATTCTAAACCTCTTTAATCTTATTTTCAATACCATTTAATATTGTTTTCACTACCTTTAATTTCTAACTTAACACCTTTTAATCAATACCTTAATACCTTTTAATCTTTATCTCAACACTTATAATCTTTGCCTCAATACCTTTCAACACTTTTTTATTTATTTATTTATTATTATTATCTTTTTTTCTTAACACCTTTAATTTTGTCTCAACACTTTTTAATCTTTTTTCTCAACACCTTCAATCTTGTTATCAACATCATTTTTTCATTTTTTCTCAACACCTTTAATCTTAATCTCAATCGCTTTAATCTTATTCTCAACATTCCTTTTTTAATTTTTTTTTTTTTTCAACACCTTTTATCTTATTCTCAACACTTTTTAATCTTGTTTTCAACATTTTTTAATTTTTTTTCTCAATACCTTTAATCTTGTTCTCAATACCATTTAATATTGTTTTCAACACCTTTAATCTATAACTCAACATCTTTTAGTCACTATCTCAATACCTTTTATTCTTTATCTCGACAATTTTAATCTTTGCCTCAATACATTTAATTTGGTTCTCAATACCATTTAATCTTATTCTCAACATCATTTAATCTTGCTATCAACACCTTTAATTTTTTTCTCAAACCCTTCAACACTTTTTTTTTTTTTTTAAATTTTTTTTTCCCAATACCTTTGATCTTGTTTTCAATACTTTTTAAATTTTTTTCTCAACACCTTTAATCTTGTAATCAAAACCTTTTTTTTTTTTTTTTTTTCCTTAACACTTTTAATTTTATTCTCAACCCCTTTAATTTTGTTCTCAACATTTCCTTTTTATTTTTATATTTTTCTTTTTCTTAACACCTTTAATCTTTTTCTTAACTTATTTAATTTTGTTCTCAACACTTTTTAATTTTTTTATCAACACCTTTTAATCTTATTTCAATACTTTTAATCTTGTTAATAACACTTTTTAATATTTTTCTCAACACCTTAAATCTTGTTCTCAACAATTTTTAATCATTTTCTCAACACATTTAATGTTGTTATCAATACATTTAATTTTATTCTCAATACCTTTTAATCTTGTTATCAACAACTTTAATCATATTTTCAATACTTTTTAATCTTGTTATCAACACCTTTAATCTTGTTTTCAACGTACAATTTTTAATCTTGTTATCAACACCTTTAATCTTGTTTTCAACGTACAATTTTTAATCTTGTTCTCAACACCATTGAATCTTATTTTCAACACCTTTAATCCCTAACTCAACACATTTTAATCATTACCTCAATACCTTTT